CTCATTAACACTTGCCAAATACTAGGATTGCAGGAACATCTCCGGTCTCAGAGCTAAAAACGTTTATGGAAGCAATTACCTTGTTGATTTTTGAAAAAAAACATTTACCACTGCCCCTAAGCTGTGGCGATGCTGAAGAGGTACAATTTGAATAAGGTTTCCTAAGCTACAAAAGGAGAAGCAATTCACCCAGATTCTAGCTCCTGAAGATCACGAGAAGCCCTTCTATGAAGTCTGTGCTGAGGTCAGTACGAGACTCAGCTACAACTCCTCCTCCACAGTCAAATAGTCTATTAAAAGGAAGGCCATTGGGAGTTGTACTGCAGTGCTGCACCTGCGTAAATCACCACCTGCATTTCTGCATCTGTAAAGTACCTGATACACGGGACACATACAACAGAGTGGAACAACAATTAGTTCCCTGCGTTAAACAACCGAGGTTCCTGTTCATGAACCCTATCCTCCGCTGGAAGGTGGAGGGGTATAATAATCAGCTGTATTGACCCATGCAGACTCTTAGCTGACACTCACTGTTACTGGCTGCATTGTCGGAGGTGTCATCCTGAAGAAATGACATGTTACAGTCAGATCAAGTCTATATCTCCTTTAAGTTGGATGATAAAGATCCCATGACATTTATACCAAAAATTTCTTTACTATATCCTTGCCGGCAATGCACGATAAAATATAAATGGCCGGCACACATGAGAGGTCATTCAGGCATAACACATGACTAATGCGTTCCTGCAACCATATTCCAACAGACGGGAAGAAAAGACGTCACAGCGAAGAAAGCACTGTTGGGGGGCGGGGGGAAGTTACTGTAGGAATGCTCTTTGTCAGGCATAATGTTCACTCACCCCTTCTCTCTGCATTTCGTTGACTAACAATCTACTACTGTACAATTATACCTACCAGGAGAGCTCATTAGCACCTTCTATATTGATCCTTCTCACTGACATAAATAGCACACTAAAAATGTATTAAGTCCTATTCTAGTTTAGCAGCCTTAGTTGCAGGTTATCGAGTATGCTAGCCTGTGCCTCAAATTCTTCAGCTCAATGCTAGAGTTGAATTATCACCTCACTGTATGATTTCAATCGTCATTCAAATCATGCATTTGCTCTCAATAATTTAGTGTAACGTGTTTTGATCAATTTAGCTTACAAACAGATATTCTGGGCAAAAACATGCAAAAATTCCAATCACAGTGATTTATAACAGAGAGAAACAATGCACAGTCCGGGCCTAATTCGAAAAAAATACAAAACCTGAGTTATTATCACTTTACTGGGAACATGGTTTATGTTGGGTAGAATGAAGTCTCCTAGGAAGGGAATGATAGCAGTCATGAATTGCTTGTTCCTCAATCAGAAAGAATGATGAAGTATCGGGGGTGTAAGGCAGAAAGGCACATAGCATCACACGAAGAGTGGTACAATCTCATCTCCTACCCAAACAGTAAGCGCTCCAGGACCCTAGCAAGCTGTTGTTGAACCATATTCACATTAAGCACAAAAGGATACACCGTCTTAAAGTTGTACACGAAAACCTTTGTTGCCTTGAGCATGTAAACGACTGAACACATTCAGAACAATAAGAATCCAGTAAATAAATTTAAATGTTGGTGAGTAGCTTAATTTGCTGCGTACAAATTGACTTCACAAAATACAGTCAGTCCACTTTACAGCGTAATTCTGTGAACTGCTTTGAGACATGCTCCTGACGCGAAGGTGACAGTAAGCAATGATGCTTTGGACGGCGAAATCTACACACGTTGAAGCCAATCAGTGAGTCTGGTCACAGGATTGACAACACATCGACAAAGCACTTTCCTGACAGCCCCTTCTTACATTCTTCAAAAATAGACATTCATTTTCAAATGCATTCCTTGCTCACAAAAAGAATGATCCATTCTCCCTGAAGATAATAATGATCCTTGCATTTGATAAGGTGCCTTATTATGTCGTTGAGATGTCTCAAAGCGCTTCGCAGAATCTTTTGGAAAATGGATTGATGAGTATTTTGTGGGCAAATCGCCTACAGATAATGATCACTTATTGGAAAGGAGGGGTCAGTAGACTAGAATATAGCAATACACATATTTACCTACTGCAATACCGCAGTCACACCAGTGAAGTCCATGGATCAACAGTCCTGGGAATGAGAGGGCAACCCACCCACACACCAAAAGCATTCTTGAAAGATCAGGAAATCTTTCTCGGTACTTGGATTGTTTCAAGTACGACATTTCTCCCACAAGGAAAAACGTAAAACCCTTTAACGTGATGAAAAAGCTCCCAAAATAGTTGAGATTTAATTGCTGCTAGGTTTCAGAAATGGAATAAAGGTCAGTTAAAGTAATCATATCATCCGTTTTCTATTTTAATTAAAAATTAAGTGAACTCTAATTAAGTTGGAAATACAGGTACAGTATTTCCAGAAACAAAATTGCTCATTAGCCTTTTTTGCAGAGAAAGAGGTTTTAAATCGACAGATGTTACTTTAGAGGCAAAAACGTGACACCAACAAATATGGGGCAAATTCAGTCAAGCACTAATTGCTTGCTTCCAGTACAGAGTCAGTGTTTAAATTAAAGTCAGGCAAAGAAACACTTCACTCAAGGTTTTATAACAGAGCTTGTTCCGAGAATCAGCTTCTTTTCGCGCTCGGTTGCAAAGTTATTTAAATTGCACTCTAGTCTCCTCCAAATTTTCTCGTGGGGTTGACAATGTTGACTCAGTTGGCACTTTCACATTTTTACTTCGCTCGCTCAGTACGACAACTGCAGTATCGTTTTCCCAACTGGTGATTTGCAGAGGCCACAGTTTTTGTACCTCCTCGCTTCCCCCAATCCATCCCATCCCTCCATTTGTTAATTCAATAGCACCAATTTCATTTGACAGTCAAAAATTGCTCACAGTGAGCAGTTGTCGTATGACAAGATAAAGAATTTCTTGAAAGCATACACTACATCTCGAATGTGGTGCTGCTCCCCTTTTATTGTTGTAATGATGTTTCAGCAAAAATATTCATATACTCTGCTTTCTAACCCAGTCAAACGAGCGTAATATTTCTGAATGGTATAGATCTGCTGATCAGATAACAAATAAAAGGAAGGCACTCAGATGAATTTTAAAAACTTAAAGCAATTTACACCAATTGGGTGCATGTGTCAAACTTTCTCCTGGTGATTGTACACATAAGATCACAGGAGATGTTTGAATGAAAAGGCCCTTGAGCTCATTTGATCCTTTCCTTCCTGAATACCTGCCCGATTGTCCTCCCGTTACAGCATTATTCTTCAGTCTCTAACCTGTGCTAGTCATCTTGAATAAGCACCTAATGGATGTGTAATACTTCACATAGGAAGGTAGGGAGAAAATGCACAGCAAGTGAAATCATCCTGTTCTTGGGTAGGTCTGAGTGGTTTAATTTACAAGCTGGAACAAGTCACTAATGATATATGGCACAGGGCAGGTTCAGAGAAGCTGGAGAAAATAACTTTAAAAGGAAGTAATAATAGAATAATAATAATAATAATCCATTGCATTTGCAGAAAAAAATATATTCAAATCCATTTCAATCAAATATGTAATCAGGCTGGAAAGCTATTCATTGCACTTTTTTTTACCTCTTACCCAATAATGCTGCATTTAGACCGGAATGTCTGATATAAACCCAAAGAGGATTACAAATAAAATGTGACTTAAGCTATTGACAGAAAAAAAATATTTTTGTAAAAGGCAGAAAGAAATCATTTCTTAGTTACTGTCTCTGGGTATCAGGACCGTAATCAACAACACTCTCACACACTTTCTTTTATGAAATTCATTAAAAATTAGGAAAAGGGGATAGTTTCAGGGGCAGCAGAGGAGCTTGTTATAAATGGGTTACAGGATAATATCTCATTCTGAAAAACACGTCAATGAATAGCATCAATTCAGCTTCAAAAATAGCTTCAGGGTGACAAGAGCTACATCATAAATTCTGACATGCTAAGTTGTCAAATTAAAAAAATATATATAATTCATCGTTTTTTTGCCCAAATCTCTCCCCCCAATTAATGTCACCAACCTAAATAGGTGCGACCAACGCAACACACATGTAAGTTGCTATTCTATTTCCTTTTCTAACCGATGTAAATCCAATCCACCTCCTTACTGATTTATTTAAGAACCGACAGTCTGGTGACTTTGACAGGTAACAAGCAATCAAATGAAAGGAAACATTTGCTAGTCATTTCATCACAGAGGTCGCAGTTCTGGACTGCTATAAGGGAAATAAAAGCTGCTAATTGATTACCTGATAAGATACTTAATATATGCCAAGTGGCACAGTGGAGCCACAGAAATATTGCATGTAACAGACACTTGGAATGTATTTCTTTTAAGCACATTACACAGCCAAGTGATGTAGGTCACACAATCTGTGTCATAACGATGTACCTTATTTAACAGTTCAGTACATCACAGTTCCTGTGGGCTTTAGGAACTGTATCCTAAACATTTTTAAACTATTTCAGCTATTAACCTTTTTTGTTTCCTAAAAAAAAACTTCTAAACATCTGGTTGCTTTTAGAGTCGGATTAATTAAAAGCAACTTCTCTGTCCACTAATTTGATATCCATCAATAAAATCAATTCGATTTTTTAAAAAAAAACACACATTAAAGCTAAAGAGACACATCCTGCTTTGCAAAGTTGCATTAAGTCCCTGGTTTAAAAATACACTTAACACACAGAGAGAGAGAGAGAGAGAGAGAGACAGACAGACACACCATCAAGAAATAAGAGAAGCAAATAATAATAATACATGTATATATAAATACCTTGCCCTCCATGCACTTGGCAGCTCCAATGCTAAAACAAATAACCCACCCTTATAAAATTGTAAAATATCCACCCACCACACACACACACACACATAAAAAAAAAACTTGCAAGAAATCCAAAAGCAACCCAGAACTGGGGACAAGAAAACTTCTGCAAAGCCTCGCACCTTGTGTGATCCCATCTGAGACTTAAAATGATCCTCTTCCAGGACAGAACCTCAGCAGCCTCTGCCTCTCTCTCTCCCCCCTCCCTCTCTCTCTCTCCCCCATCCCACACCACCACCCCCAGTCACTGACTGATTTCACGTTGGAGACCACTTCTCTGTTACCTTGAGCTTCAGCTGCTGCTGTTACAGTGTGTGGGGCTGTGGGTGACAAAGGAGCTGCAGCAGCAATCAGTGAGGGAGTGAGTCTGGCACAGCCTGAGCTGCAGCTGCTCCTCTCTCAGTATCTTGTCTGTCTGTGTGTCTGTGTGTCTGTCTGTCTGCAATCCACCAGCCCAGCCACACACACACACAGAGAACGCCTGCGTACTGTCGACCTGCCTTGCCCACTTCTTTACCTGCAAAAGATACTTGCTCCCTTCCCACACCAGCCCCGCACCTGCAGCCTCAGCTCAGCTCTCAGGCTGCGGTCCTCAGGGTTCAATTAAGGACGTCAATGAACGGCGAGGACGAAAGTAGGACCGATGGTCCATCCAGTTCGCCTCCCGCCATCCCGACCGCCGCGTGCGCGTGTTGTGTTTGTTAGTTAGGGCACATATCTGTCAGGTCGGCGTATATCTCGAGACGCCGCGAAGACGTGATAAGGCGCTAAATCAAACGCGAGGATTATGATTATTATTAGCATTATTATTTGTTAGGTCAGCGTGTCAAAGGATACGGGGCAAGGGTGGGTAATTGGAGTTGAGGCACAGATCAGCCACGATCTTATAAAAGCATAGAATTTTACAGCACAGAAGGAGGCCATTCGGCCCATTGTGCCTGGGTTGGCTCTTTGAAAGAGCCACCTTCGGAGTCGTGTAGCTCAGTGGTTTGAGCACTCGCCTCGCAAGCGAGAGACCTGGGTTCGATTCCTGGCAGGGCGAAACCTTGGGCAAGTTTCCTTACTCCACATGGCTGACAATAATCCATCAAGAAAAAAATAATAATAAAATTGGTCAATCCAATCCACGACTTGTTTGTGGGACGCTGCTGTGCGCAATTGGCTGCCGTGTTTCGCCCACAAATATACAGTCAATTCACTTTACAGTATATTCTGTGAAGCGCTTTAAGACGTCTAGAAGACGTGAAAAGCACGATATCAGTGCAAGGATTATTATATTATTATTATAAAGCAGAAGAGGCACGAGAGGCTGAATGGCCTACTCCAGTTTCTATATTTCTATGTCCCCAAGCTATATATTTCACCCACAAAACACAGTCAGTTCACTTTACAGTATATTCTGTGAAGCGCTTTGAGACGTCTCGAAGACATGATAAGGCGCTGTACCAAATGCAGATGCAAGGTTTATCGGAATATGTATATACTGTAACTATATACGATATTATTTCCTAAAAGAAATCGATCTAATTGGCTTTTGAAAGATTTATCCAAATACATTGTCATCTGCGCTCTCCTGCCACTTTGCCCTCAGTTCTGAGTGGAATACACCGGTTAAACCAAACCTCACTCCACTTCAATCAAATCTTGGGTCTCATTACAGTTTGTAGCGCATTTTTAGCCATGTTTTAAAGCAATTTACTTTTCACTAACCATTAAATTACAAAGGGAAACAATCTCTGAGATGGTTGAGAAACAATCCACGACTAATTTTACATACTGTAAAATCATAGGGATGTAGGGTAGTTTTACTGGATAAAATATTCAATCAGCCATTTTGAACAAAAACGTCAACTTACTCATTTCCCATGTCATTTCTTTTAATCGTCATGTTTCTTTTTAATAAGATGTAATAATCTGCTTTTGGTTTGCCTTTCATTTGGTCCGGTGCGGATGAGAGCTCACTCAGAATGAGGTTCTGTCAAATGCAATCAGTATAAATGCTGTGATTTCAGTGTTCCAAGATATGACATGTGGCTCCTCTGTGGGAAGCCAAGCTCCCATTCATTCCAGATCAGCAAAGTAATGATTTAGGAACACACATTTACAGCATTGTTGAGTAGCAGTACATCATCATGCACCAATAGCCCCTCTTTCAGCTCGGTAGTTGTGTGTAAATATTTGTCCCTGATCACTTGCAATTGGTGTTTGCCATGTGAGAAGACCGTGTTGATTTTCTGCAGCAGTCTTGGGATGGGGGGGGTTGAAAAGAAAACTTATATTTTGTCTCACCTTATCACAGTGAAAAATCTCAAAGCACTTCACAGGTAATTATCATCGACTGCAATGACTTTTGGAAAACCATTGCAGCAGATACTTGATAGAAACATACAATCGTACAGCACAGAAGACCATTTGGCCCATTGTGCCTGTGCTTTGAAAGAGCTATCCAACTAGTGCCACTCCCCCAATCTTACCCCCATAGTCCTGCAAATGTTCCGTTTCAAGTATATCCAATTCCCTTTTGAAACCTATATTTGCACCAATAAGGTTCCACAAACAGCAATGAGGTGAATGACAAATTTCTTCTCATTCAAATAGCATCATTGAGGTCAAAGTCCATAAGATCAGAAATATTAGAATAGAATCTTCCTCTTTGCTCAAAAATCAATTCGAGAACAGTATCTGCTTTATCAATTTGCTTTGCATGAAATCACATTTATTCAATGTTATAATGTTTATGGGACATGATTGCTCCCTCCGTTCAGCGGGCTCCGGTCTGCTCCATGTCTCCCGCCCGACCCACCCTACCATCGGTGGCCGGGCATTCAGCCTCTCTGCCCCCACACTCTGGAACTCCATCCCACAGTCCCTTCGCCTCGCTTCCTCCCTTGCCTCCGTCAAGGCCGGTCTCAAGAGTCTTTGCTTCGATCGTGTGTATAGCACATTTCACGTCGGGAGGACGTCCCAAGGCAAATGCTGCTAGGATTTTTTAGGATTTCAGTACAAGGTACATTCTCAATATTTTATTTTCAGTTACATATCTAAGGCCAGATGGGCATAGACAGCTCCTCTTTGGTCAAAGCCAGATTGTATATCACACAAAAAAAAGTGTCAGCTTTTTAAGAATGCAATTCACGATCAATTGGAAAGGTTAGAAGTATCTATATTACTTAGGTTACTTATTCCAAAAAGTCAACTTCATAACCTCTCAATGATGAAGGTACAGGTTTGACAGATCAAGCTTTCATTCTAGAAACATAGAAACAGGAGTAGGCTGTTCAGCCCTTCAAGCTTGTTCTGCCATTTTATAAGATCATGGCTGTTCTGTACCTCAAGTCCAGTTTCCTGCCCTTGCCCCATATCCCTTAATACCCCGACCTAACAAATATCTATCTCCCTCCATCTTGAAAATGTGAATGTATCCACCATCCACAGCCTTTTGGGGAAGAGTTCCAAACTTCCACTCCCCTTTGGGTGAAAAACTGCTTCTTAATTTTACTCCTAAATGGCCTAGCTCTAATTTTGAGATTTGCCCCCTTGTTCTGTATCCCCCACCAGAGGAAATAGCTTCTCTGAATCTGTCCTTATTGAATCCCTTCATTATTTTAACATCGTCAAAGAATCCATACTTATTTCCCACAACAATTAGATGCTTCAAAAAATTAAGTTCTTTCAAACTGATTCAGATGTGTGAAGTGGTACAGTGGCCGAGCTGGTTTAATTTTTAACATTCTTACCAACTTCAATTAGAGGCTAAAATCCTCATTGGACTTGGATGCTACCCTCATAAGTCACTGAAAATGTGGTCTCTCACTGTGATACAGTAAAAATATTACATTGATCTGCTTTCATTCTTTCTCTTTCCTTTTAAATAAAAAAAACACTATATGGAACAAAGACTAAAACATAGATAACCCAACATCCATAGTTTAGGTTAGGCTATTCATGCTATAGGCCTTAGAATAGCCCGTTCCCAAATAAGCTTTTCATTGCTTCAATTTGATTATAGTGGTGAATCTACTTTTAATCCAAATGATTTTGTCAATAGCAGACACAAAAACAACAAAAAGGCCAATAAAAAGTATTTTGTTATGAAATACTGTCCAAATGCACTACTACGATTCAGCTGTGACTGTGCATAAGTAGCAAAATACCATCTGTGCCCTACTAAAATCCTTACAAAGTTATTGTCTCGTATGTATCTCATAGATTGGTATATTTTAGTCGAGAAAGTTATACCTCATCAAAAAATGTTAACAAAGAGGTTTACTTAGTCATTAAAGAGATTAGAAACACATTTGACCCACCAACATACCTGGAAGTTGCCACCTTGAACTGAGTAAAGCCAACACTTAGACAAGAGACCATAGTTCGTTCAGCTTTTTGAATACCTCAGTCTTAGATGTTGACATCACCTTAATGTTGGGGTGTCATTTGATCACATCATGAAAAGGACATTAAGTACTGCTGTGTAGTAAAGCTGTACTCAGGAAATGGCGAAACCCAACGTGTTTTTAAAATGTCACAGCCTTTAATGACATCTTTGAAAGGTTAGGACTTCAGTTTTTTTTGTTATTTAGTAGCTTAATTCCAGACATTCCTTTTTAATGGTCACTATTAACGTAAGTAGAAACTGATGAATATAGTCAGGACTTTGGAACTTTGATATCAGGAGGTTAACCACACTGGTGAGTTTGTACTGTGCACTTTGAAATGAGACAGTAGAGAAACTGACCACATCAATGAGTTGACCACCTTTGTGGGATGACCTCAAGATGAGCTCCCACTGTCTCTTAAATAAATACGTGTTCAAACAGCAGTTTACTTCCATTAGGTTACAATGGAAATAATTCTGGTTTGTACTGAGTTTTGATTCAGGCTGCAACTTTATATGCCTGATTCCCAGCAAGTAGTAAAAACAGAACATTTACTGAACCACATCCCAAGATGCTTCAAATAACTTGTTAGGATTTTTAAAAAATATATATATGTAGCTTATAAATTTTACATAAGCTTTTGAAACTGTAAATGGCATAAATGCAGTTTTAAGAAATTAGATGGGATAATTTGTCTGAAAGGCAGTCATTTCTCCCACTTCACCAAATGCAAAGCGTTTGGTACATGTTTATGATTTCAACTCTCACATATTAATGCCGATAGCAATACTCCCTGTGGGTTTTAGTTACTAAAAGAGAAGGAATACAGTGTACACCTGACTTGTCACATGGGTTTTCTTTATACTTCAAAGGGTTTAAAATTTGCATAACACAAATCTGTATGTAAAAGTGGCCTTAAAATTTCTAGCAAAGGAATAGTGAGCTTCTTCACCTGTTACAATATCAATATCATTCCAGGAAACCCTCATCAGAATGTTCAAATGTCATGCAATTTCAAACTGGAATTGGCTCATGCCAAAGAATAACCCACCCGCCAATAGTCCATTAAACGCCAATGACATGGAACTTCATTTTAAAATCAAAACAATAAAAGAATGTAAAAGTCAATAGTCCATTTGGAAAAAAAAACCTTGATTTTCACCTGACGGATTAATACTAAAGTGTGCATGTATTCTGAACCAAACCCCCAAATGTATAAAGAAACAGAACTATATTGTCATTTAATATAAATCTTTCAAAAAGAAGTGGTCATATATCTGCACGATTTTTATTTCTGAATTGACAAACAAAACATGTACATGAAACAAGAGGATATCAAATCCTCTATAAATGCATCATTATCAAAGTTATCACTGTCCACAAAATAAATCTGCACCCCCTTCAGATTTGTCCAAAAGGAAAAGTTGCCTGAAGGTATTTCCTCAGAATTTGTTTTAAATGCAGATTTCAGTAATTACAAAAGATGACATGTCTGGAATAAGCAGTCTGTAAGATTTCAGTAGAAGCTACATACACATATCAGCAGTTCTATTCAAGACTTGGCTTGAGCCCCTTCAATGGATGCATTTGTACTGCTCCAAGATTTTGGCAAAGCAGTCTTTCTCAATAACAGATTAAGTATCGTTCATCGTCTTCTTGGGGAGTTTTCCCTCCACCTGTCCTCATTCTTTCTGCAATCCTTAGAACGCTCTGAATGTCTGCTGTCCTGACGATCGTGCTTCGTGGATTGCTTATCTACACCATTTTTTGGGTGGTCCTCCTCACCGTTCCTCGAGGCGATTTCTTTACGACTTTTCTCTCTGGATTTTGATTTATCTCTTCTCCGATTGTAGTGATCTTCGCCGTCTTTGTTCCTGTACCTGGTTCTGTCACTTTCAGAACGAGAATGGTTCCTCACGTCATCTTTCCTGTGTTCAGTGTATTTATCCGAAAAGTCTCGATTCCTATCACGCTCCTTGTCCCTGTCGCTTCGTTTGCGATCTCGTTCGTATGCATCATCGCGATTGTACCTGGCTGCTTCATCTCTCCTCTCTCCAGTTTGCCTGTAGATTTTGCCACTATTTCTATCAGATTTCCTTTCTTGCTCCTCACTGCTGTTTCGGTACTTGCTTTCCTGTTGCTTTTCAGATCGCTCTTTCTCATTAGGCCGTTTTTTGCCGTCCAACTTCGCTTGATCTTTGTCTTTTTTGTGTTGCATTTTTTTCCTCTTTGAATTTAAACCACCTGTCAAGGAAACCAAAGCACAAATCTTTACTAGCCAGAAATGCGACGGCTTCTCCAACTTGTTTGTTGGCTGCCATGTTGGCATGGATGCAGACATTTATCTTTACGTATGTTGGTAGAAATACACTTTTATATAAAAAAATTGAATTGGAGAATGCTTATTGTTAAAAAATAACACAAAAATATTAATTTCCAATTTGTTAACATAATGTGGAAGTGACATTCAAGTGTTAAATGGGAATAATTGGGTCTCTAAAACTAAACTCAGCAGACATTGTCATCTGATTCACCTCATTCTGTACTTTCACTAAAAAATAAAAATAGGCAAGTTAGTTGGATCACTGAAATATTCGTCACTATAAATAAAGGACAAAGAACAGATTATTTGGTCAGGGTTATCACATGGAAACTGCTGCAAAACCAGGGCAATAATTTGACATTCTGGTGCTCAATATAATCAGAGGTGAAAGCTGAAATAAAATGTTCAAATGTCACCACCGTCAGGAGGACACAATAATGTTAAAATTCCTCACAATCTCAGTGCTAGGTTTCATCCATTAACTTCAAAATGGTAAAAGTAATTATAGCCAGAAAGATGAGAAAAGTTCTACAAAAGTACAAATCCGCTTAGACTTGAAAACAAATCGATGCTTTATGACTGAAAGTGCCCTTTGCATAACATCATGGGGCTTGAATAAGAGTTTTGTAGTCCAGTATAAAAAAACGCCTTCACGCATGTATAAAAATAGATGGAATTTGCATTATGCGAGAACAGCATGAGAAATAAAATCTTGCATAAAGTAGTTTTCTCACAGTGCAGTACTTTTGTCGAGGCATTAGTAGCAGGTTGGACAGATGGCTTGCAATTGCTTAGAAATATTGGGTAATCTCCTGCACTAACGTGCAAATTTAATATTTCTTTTTGCTATCCAGAGCTCCTATTGTATCTCAAACCACAAACTTTTTTTTCAATAAGTTATACATCTGCTAATTCAATTAGAAGTGCATGTACAGTTTCACTGAATCAGAAGTGGGTTTAGTTTATCAGTTGAGAATTTTTTTTGCCTTGTAATATATTTTCTTGCTGTATTATTTGCATTATTAAAATAATTACATGTCCATAAATTTAGAAATGTAAACCTGGAGGTGTAGCTGCAGTCTCCATTCGCTATTTAAGAAATTAAAAAGGAAATCAGAGAATAATTAAAGGGTACATTACAAAATTGATTTGAATTCATTGAGGATAACAACACAAAGGAAGGCTATCCAGTATAAAAATGCTCAACCTGGCAAGCGACAGAATCAGTTGGACTTGTCAATAAAGACCTCATTTTCCAGGTCATAGCAAGAAGCTCCACAGAGCTGCAGCTGTCTATGCAGCAGCCATCTGGCTCTTTGCTGAAGTGACACCTTATGAATCTTTTCTGTTCTGCTCTTCAGTATTTTAATGGCTCAGCCTTTGTCAACTACAAGTATTATACAAGATGAATAAGTCAATATGAACCTATTCCAGTTAGACTACTGATTCGAAAGTGTCAAAAATGTAGATAAATTGACAACTCCACACATAAAAAAGATGGGGTGGAGAAGGAAAGAGATTGTATTTGCCGACAAAACTGTACATGCATCCATAATTTCTCCAAATTGTATGAAGCTCACAGCAGTGATTCACATTGCAAATGACTCTTCGTAAGATGGAGCAAAATGTCAAAATCATTTTATGCAAACACTGAAGATACCCGCTGTGTTGGAACACCTGCTCCATGAATATTAAAGGTTGACAAAATTGGATTAAATGCAAGTTTGTTAATTTGAACAGGAGAGGTATACTGCACATGTGGTTGCACATACTCTGATTTCATAAGAACTGTTAAGATTTTGTGATCTGGTGTCTGAAGCAGTCAGTTATATTTTGGGTATTCCTCTCTTCATATACTACAAGACCATATGAATGTGGCCTAATTCAGAATTATTTCATGCCCTTTTCAAAAATCGGGTTTCAAACGATGTTGGGCATTGCCAATACAGGATACTTAGTTCAGCTCATCAACTGGAATTGGCAGCTTCATTAATCTGGCTTGTGTCAATCCACTTTACAGTATGTCCTGTGAAGCGCTGTGAGACATCTCAAAGACGTGAAAAGACATTAGATCAAATGCAAGGATTAATATTACCGTACAGTCTCAACTTTACTTTGACCATTTGAAAATTTCCACATAAAATCTGGTGAATTAACTTACGGAAGAAGAAAAATAGTTAGTATTGTATGTATATGAATGGCCAGAGCGGGGGTGGGGGGTGGGGACAACAACAACTTGTATTTATATAGCTATATAGCACCCTTCACGACGGATGGTGTTTCAGAGCGCTTAACAGTGGTGGAGCCCGTTGCTGAGTCGGGGGGAGGGAGAAAGTGACTAGCACGGTTGAAGAGGAAGGTCTTCAAGCACGACCTGAAAATAGAGAGAGAGAGAGAGAGAGAGGAGGGGGCAAAGCGAAGGGTTTGAGGGAGAGTTTTACAGCTTCGGGGTCTAGTGGCTGCCGATGGTGGGGCTGAGGGTCCGCGGGTAGTGGGGGGGAGAGAGAGAGAAAAACGCTGGGGAGAATTTATTTACCTGAGCCACTGCTGCTACTGGAGGATGAGGAATCGCTGTCGCTTGATGATCCAGAGCTGCTGTTGCTGTCAGTCCCACTGCTGCTGCTGCTACTACTGCTTCCAGAACCTGAATCAGAAGAAGAATCTGAAGAGGACGAGGAGGAAGAGGACGAGGAAGAATCTGATGATTCAACATCTTGTCGTTGGGTCATAATGATTTTTGGTGCATTTTTCAAGTGTTCTCGCAATTCATCTCTGAAGGAGGAAAAGTGGCCAAGATTATTATAGCAGTTCACAAATAAGATTTTGAAAAAAAGTAATGATAAACCACAAATATAAACAGCATACATACGTTAAACCCCCAAGACCAATGGAGGTAAAGAAATTAATGGCAAATCGAGTATTTCGAGGATTATCCCTGGGGAAGAGACCTTCAAAGAAAGGCTGGAGTGTCCTGTACAAAGATATTTAAAACAACTTCACAAAATAGTCACAAGCAAAAAAGGGATACAAACATTATTATTATTATACAAACATTAAGAAGGCTGATTTACATTTTACAGTTGCTCAGGGACTAATTCAACAAAGCTTTTTGTTAAAACTTTAATGCTCACAAATCTTCACAAGCGTATCAGAAGCAGAAAAGATTATCTCACTGGAATTAGTCATGTTTTCATACCAAAACATCTAAGATGACAAAAGAAACCGGCTACCACAGTATGCTTGTTGTACAACTGCAATTAAACCCTTTGGAAATGCACGTAGTATTTCTGCACCAAAAAAATAAATAAAATAGCTACAGGTGCATTTGACTAATTAAATATCTAAAGGTTAAAGTAAGATTGATTTTAATCAAGGAAGCATTTGAAATGTACAGGATCTAATTTTTTTTCTGTAACAATAAAACACGGATCACCAAGGATTCTAACTCTCATGAAAACATGAATTAAGTTCTATATCATTTAAATCGGTTTTCACTTACTCATCCTGCAGCCTTTGGTTTAGTTTGGGAAGTCCCATGTATTCACAAAGCTCTTGGAAAAGAATCTTCACAAAGATTCTACTGGAGGATGTAGTTGTTTCTTCACTCAGTTGGATACAATAAAGTACCTGGAGACCAGGAAAGAAAATGGACCAATTTCAATGAACTGATGCACTTTTAACCCTAAAAATAAATTCTCAGCCTAGATTACTCAAAAACACAAGAAACACTTTTTTCATGTCGGGAGGACGTCCCAAGGTGCCGAAATAAACATAAAATAAACATGTACGTTTATTCAAAAAGCCAGAAATATTATCACAACCCACAGCCTGGCATCCCTAAGCCTAGGCTCTTGCCAATTTGTGACAAATACTTTCCGGGAGTAGGCAAACAGGGCTTGTTCCTTTGGGAAAAGAATGAGCGCTCCATTACTGAGAGGAAAATTTCATGGATACTGGGAACAGAGGTAGTGACGTCTCATAAGTCAGACATTTTAAGCACGTTGCACAATACAGCCTCTGAGGATTAACAGTAAATTACATTTATAACCTCCTTCATGAAGGATAACATGCTACAGTGCTGAAACAAGAAAACTGTATTATACATTTCCCCTGTACTATTTTCTTGGTGAAGTTCAAAGTGGTGAACTTTAAACTTTCTGGCTTGCTCAACTAATTAACAGTAGTTGGGCCGAATATTTTTTACATCAGATAGCAAAAAAAGAAACAATTTCCAAACTTAGCAAGACTGCCCAAGTGAAAACAACAACTCGTATTTTTATAGTGCTTTTCACGTGCTAAAAAGATGGTTCTGACTTACACTCCATGGAATTGAATCTGTGTACAAGAGATGTGCAAACATTTTGGCAACATTTCTCAGTTTATTCGTCTCCAAGCGATGAATGGTTTCGTATTGTTCTTTAAAAATTCCTTCAAAAGCCTCCATGTAGTCCTTCTTCAACATGCAAAAACGCTGCAAGAAAATTGATAAGAGATCAAACAAAAATCAGCCATGATACAATGTTCGACAATTATTTGCATTCATATAGCACCTACCATGCAAATTGCGACTCAAAGCTTTGAAATGCTGTGAACTTTATACTCAAACAGGAAAAATAGTGGCATTGTTCTATATAGCTAAGAAATCTTCCGTTGAGCTATATGGAGCAGTAAATCAAGTTATAGAAATTCTAACGCAACAATGGAGACTCACCCCAGCCAAAAGACCAAAAAATTTCTCATACGTCCTTTGTTGTGCACAACAATCCAGGATCATATTGCATAGTTCTTTCTGTGGAAGAATAGAAAATTGGTTTTGAATGAAAGATAACTATCATACTTTAGCTTTCGTGTCATCATTTTGATTCGGGGCTGGTGGAAAAAAGAACATTAGTGTAATAATAGATGGGAGCAAATGAATGCAGCACTAATGGAACCAGTAAGGTACAGGTCCAATGCAGATTCACCATTCTGCTGAGCTTCTGATTTCAGCAGAAAGCAAATGCCTCACTGCAGAGGGAAACATCTTAACAAAAATAAATCCATACATAAGATGTGCGTGTAAACATCCTGACTATTAATTTGTTTCTAAAAGCCGGTTGATTTGGGATACTCTTAGGTACTGTCAGCTGTTTAACAAAATCAGTTGGTGGGTGACAATGGGCAGACTTGCCTTACTCCCCTTTCAAGCAGGATGAGCACAGTGTCAAGGTCACCGGTGAACCTTACACAGATCATGGAGCTGGAATACAAATTCCGGCTAAAATCCAAGATTTGGATGGTGGTGATCTGTCAGCACTTGTATGCACTCATAGAACAGGTTCATCTGGCTTTTTTTTAAAAAAAATTACAACAAAATACAATTCATTATGAGAAAACTACCAACATGAAACCTCTTCTCACAGTAACAAAGAGTTGAAGTCAAGTTCGAAGAAGCAAAAGAACCATTTTGAAACCTAATTAAAATCTCAGCACAAGTTTAAATCATTTAACACTCAAGCTCCGCTGTGAACAATCGGAAGATTACAAAAATGTAAATATAAATGGAAGCCAGTTTATATATGATCAATATTTTGCAAAACAGCATATTTAGCGATATGTATGACACATTGCAACTGTCTTTCTCCCAGTATCTTAATGTCAGCTTGTGTAAAACAAACACTTCACTTCCCCAATGAAGCTTTGAACTTAAATACAACACATAACCTTCCTCCAGATTGACCTCAAGAATCCTTGAATTTGATATAATGCTGTATCACTTTGAAAACGTCTCAAGTGCCTCACCATTTTTCTTGTAAATATTGTGAGTGTTTATTTGTAGACAAACATTAATAGGAGATTTGTTTCCCCCCAATTAATCCTTACATAAACATATACAGTATTCACCTTTAATGAAATAAATTTACATATTTTCCCAAAGTGCCTGAAAATGATTTCTTGGCAATACTTACAATATAGTATTGCCAATACAGTATTGCTGTTGGTGCAGAAAGCATAGGAATTTCCTTCTCTTTTTAGAGACATGCCATAATGACCAAACTACTCAAATCTGCATTGTTATTATTAATATCAGTCTTCTGTAGAAAAGATCCTTAGATCAAGTACATGTGCACAGAAATGCAGCTTTCTACTGAAAACTGTTCACAGTTAGCACTTTCATTGCTCAGATGGCTAAGTGTAGCTTATTTACCAGGAACAGCTGGTTGCACACCAGGCACCTACATGAGAAAAGCTTACTCAAATATTACAGGATTGACCATCACAGTGCACTGGTGCATGAACCACAGCACAGCAAAGAAGGACATGATAGTTTGTGACCTCAAATCTCAATGGGATTCACTTCCGCGAGAAAAAAAACTTATCAGAGACCGACTCCACCATTTTTGTATATATCTTGTAGGTGTCTGAGTGGCAGCATAGGCCTGGGAATGGTAGCCCACTTGTCCTATCAGCTAGTGAATGAATAGCCCAGTTTGAAGATGTGCTATTTTTAACATAATTGCTAGGGGGTGGAATTACTGCTGTTAACACACCAGATAGCCTGACTTGTCAGCAGGACTTGGAGGAGCAGAACTGAAGAATTTTCCACAATTATGCTCAGTCTTAAATTTTAAGACAAAATACCCATTTAGGCTAAGACTCAATGGAATTTCCAGTCTGATCTGTCACCCTTTGGTAACAGAGGTCCTAAATTATGTTCTTTCTTGCCTTCACAAGTTTGGGTTGATCTGGGAGCACAAGTCTGCTACTGGACAGCTATAATCATATTTGAACATGGATTCAGGCAAAATACATACCATTACGCAGCAGCTCTATGACAAATTTGGAACAGGTGGCATTTTACTGTGCGTCTGTGCAGATATAGATTGCTCTTTAAGTCAATTTCACCTCAGAGAAAGATTTTTCAAATGGGAAGTAGAATCCATTTTCTGGAGACGAGTATACCCTAGGCAGAGTGTGCTCGTCATTCATCATTTCTCTTCTTAACACTGACCTACTTTGCTTGGTTTGTCTTGTGGGATTCTAGGATGGAACAGCTCCACCTGAATGTTGCTTCTATTGCCATCCAGCTCCACTATACATAATATAAATAATCCTGGCATTTCCACTTAAGTCTGTAAAGAAATATTTCACCGTCTCCCCCAAATAATTCCAGTCTAACTTAAAAAAATGCACTTCAAAGAAAGGATCTGATGCAACTTTTTTCAGAATACAGATTTTCTTCATCTATGGCCCTAGTAGGATGAGTACAGCAACATATTGCTGTAATTTCTGGGGGGCGGGAGGAAGGAAACCGAAACAACAATTCCAGGTGCTAGGTGTTGGTATTCATTATCAGGTGCAAGATGCATCATATTATTCTGTGTGTTTCTATTTTAAAGAAAGCACTCCAAACATACAGTGCAATTTGCACTCAAACAAATTTAAACATCAGGTTGTGATGACCGGAAAAAACAAATGGAACAGAACAAACATTGCCCGTAGACCAATACAGACAGGCAAGCAATGGGCAGAAATAGCACAGCATGAACTTGGAACAAACTTGAAAATAATCTCTTATTGCAAATGGGATGGAATAGCTGCCTATCATATTTCCACCATGGTCTTCACACCCGAATATGAAATGCTTGAACTCTGTATTCTAAGCTTTCAAAAGTAGATGCCTTCCCGGGCGTCAGCAAGGTGACATGGTGTCAATGTGCCTGACCGAAAATGCAATCGAGACCTTGCTCAAATGAAGCATTGTGGGGATGAATCAGAACGAAGGAGGCAATATGGATTTCCCTTTCTCGTTCTGTCTTCCCAGAAACATAAAAGCTTATCTGTATTTATAAAAAAACAAGATTACACCTAACAACGGTCAATTTTAGTCTGCAAATAGCAAAACCATGTCTTAACCTAATTTCCACTGATACAAGTCTTTCTTTTCTAAAGTAATTTAGCACTATGCACTGCAAAAATACAAAGCTATTCCACCTGGTTCAAACTGAAGATCAAATGACAGCCTCAGCACTAAGCTATGATTCCATTCGTGTCAGGTAAGGTGAAATAGATGAGTACTAAGTGCAAGATAAAGGAAAAAAGTAAAATTGTTTCATTTCTGTACCATCCCAGTAAATCATATCCACAAAACGTTTTGAACTACACCCACTTAATCCTTTCTCAGAAGATAACTATCCAGGACTGTTTGCCAATGAGAAGCCCCAAGTTCAATTTAAAATGATATTGTCCTGCAAGATACATTACATTATGAAAGAAGTTCCACACACAATAAAGCTTACAGCTATATTATCCACCATTTCAAGATCATTTTCAGAAAAAAGTCCAATTGTGCCTTTATATGAAGCAACGAGGATGAGCAAACAGCAAGGCAATTATCTTCTGGGCTTAGTTACAATCACTGATCCTGAGATGCTTTATGGGCTTATTTTTAAAGCCACTTCAGAAGAATCTAGAGATTTGTGTCTGGCAAGGTCATTAGCAGCACATACATTCTTTATGATAGTCTGCACCGAGACACGACCAGAAACGGCACCTGTGAACATTTGCTTGTGAATTTAGTAGTGTTTCAAGACATAGGGGACACTCTCTAATTATTCATCTCTATGGATTTTACACTCAAAAGAAACTTTTGAGTTAAATTCATGTTGACCTTCATCCTTTCAAACAAAGCAATCTGCTTAAGGTGTTACTGCAGTAACTACTCTTCACCTTGTAACAAGTAACACTATTGGAATTTGCACAAAAACATGCATATTCTAAGGTTACAAACGCAGAAGTTTAAAAGAAACGCATGAGAAAAAACCTTTGATACAGTATGAAGGTTAAAGAAGATTTACCTCAAAATACCAGAAAATATTTAAGAATTTCAGAGCTACTTTGATTAACTTCTTATTGTTCACTCTTCTGCACAACGATGTTGAGCTGGTTTCATTACAAATTGTAGGAACAAGTTGAGCATCATTCCTGCTGCCCCCACCCATAATTTGAATGCATGGAAATCAATACTCAACTGTTTCACTTTCCGGAAACTCCATCTTCAACAATTTGTGAGCGCATTCCTCAAAATCCAAGCTGTAATAATACAAAGGTAAACATTAAAACTCATTTTAAAAAGAAATCACAAAATCTAAATCTTTTCCCTGACCAAATACCTTCGATTCAAACATCAAGTCTGGCAAAAAATGAACAAGTTTGTGGCAAAGAGTTCAACCACATGAGATTGCTGCACTGAACAATTCACTGATTTTATGTCGTGAAGATAAAACATCCTTCACTACATAAAAAATAAAACACAAATAAAACCCTTTATTACCAGCAGTAAAGCAACAAGATTGGCTGCAGTGTCCTCAGACTTTAGTCTGAATGGGAATAAGAAATCAGTTAGTATTTCAATTCCTGATCGTTATCCATTGACCACTGCTATAAAGCGTGGGAAAAATTAGGCTAGGCTACGATATTTTCTCAATGGTCAAAAAGCCGGATGCCGTTCAAATCTGAACTCATAGATGAGGAATAACTGCTTTTGAGTGAATTATCATCTGACAATGCCAGTTGCACTACGCCCAGATATGGAAATCTCTTCAATTAATCACCACCCCCGCAGGTGTAAATTCTGAGTACAATTAGCAGTTCTCCGTAACTTATTTTTTTCCAGTACACGTATAGGAACACAGTAAAGAGAGCAGGGATTTCCTCTCTCCTCAGCAGGTAATCCTGGGGGAAATCAAACCCCAAAACAGCCCAATGCACAATTCACAAAATAGGATTGTTTGCCTCTAGGTCCAAGAGAATGGAGGGAGCTTGGACTCAGAACAGAGCAAACTATTAACTGCAGAGGGGTGCTACCTGATGGCATTCCCGATAGCTTTCCACAAAAACGTTTAGGGACAGTTTAGGAATGCTGCAAATTTTTCCACTTTATTTTAAAAGTCCCTGCAACAATCATTGTCATATGTTGGAATCCTGATTTGATTTTACAGCAATTTGCTTTTAGATGAATCCCAGCCTTTACTGTATTTAGGTGACTTGGCTCTCATGTGGTCACTTTATCTCAAAATGCACCCAGTTTCATATGTATCAAAGCAATGGAAAGAAATTGCCAGAAGTGGTGGGTAAATTAATACAAAAATACTATGTACGAAATGTAAACATCTTTTCGCATAAAAAGCAAATTTGTCAGGATGGAAATACTTCACAACAGATCCTGATAATTTCTAATTTAGTAACTGTCACATTCATTGCTTTTTTTTTTAAAAATCTTTCAGGAACACCAATCAAGTGTTACTGCAACAGAACAGTTCTTGAGAAAGTCCAGACAGAAAAACAAAAAGCTCTTTTCAGTCAGAGGTTGTAAAAGGGCATTACTTCTGAGGAAGTAAAGCAAAAACACTCCTTACCAAATACCATTCACCTAAAGGACTTAAAATTCCCTTAAATGACTTAAAGAATCCATTTACTTTGCCTAAATGGGTATTTATTGAAACGTCCAAATTATCCAGTTCAAGCTGTGATAATACATTTCTCTGAAACAAACAGGACAAGTATTTTAACTGAACTTCAGCTAATCAAATAAATCCAATGGGAGGCACCAATCTATATTTTATTTGAAGCACATAAGCACCAGACTAAACCGTGGATTTCTAAGATCCTCTATGGAATAGCATAAATCTTCAGAATGCTGAGTATGAATAATGTAGATTTAAACCATTTAACTAGGGTTGAGCGCACAGCCAGGCAAGTATAAAATTAGCAAGTCTCGCAGTATATAGCAAATAAGACATCAGTAGAAGATTCAAGAAGTTGCACAAGAATGTTACAATTAACAGATCCTTGCTGTTTTCCCCATGGTTTTAACACTGTCCTGCAGAGTTTTGAATGTGATTGAAAAGGTCATTCTAGACACCATGTTCTAATTACTATCAGTGCTGCAGGTATTCACAAAATTACATGAAGATGAACAAATTAGTTACGAGGACACATGAATGCAATAAAATGCAAAGATAAATATTCTTGTACTAAGTGGCAAGAATAACGTATTGCATCTGCAAGAAGGACAACCCAATCAATATTCCTAACTCTTAAATTTCTTTCTCATCTCACACCAGTTTATCTTTCAAAAATATTGTTCATTGGATGAAATGGCGATTTGTTAACAATTTTCCAACTCATTCGGAAGTTGATTTTCATAAAGGAAAATGCAGGCTAAAGAGAATTTAGATGTAAATCAAACAAGTTTTCAAAAACATCCAACAGATAAAAGTACTTAATTTATCTGTTCAATCAACGATGCACTAAAACTGCTACTTAACATTAAGCTTCTTCTTATCCCTATCTTCAGTCTACAACAGTCATACAATTTAGATAAACATCAACAGGCAACACATCATTAGCAAGTGTGCTTAGTTTACATAAGAGTTTCGACACAAAATGTCAGGGCTGAACAACATGAATTGAAAACAAATTGCACTGAAATTTAGCTTTCAGTGCATCTTAAAATTATCACATTATCTACATTAGCTTCTGCACTCAGCCCAAATTAAGCAACTTAAATTTACATTATTCATGTCATGGGCTCGCAATTCTTTCATATCCAAAACTGTACTTAAATTCTGATCAGAATAAACAGGTGGAGTGCCCTCACCTCGACTGTATGGCCAGATAAATAGTACGACGGAACGAAACCAGATTTACTTCAGTCTTGTCGATTATGATCAGTTTCTTTTCTCCTAAAACAAAAATGGAATAGTTAAGAAGTTAATAATTTATCAAACTGTATGATACATTTCCTTTGCAAGTTAAATAGTATATATATATTAAATGTCATCAAATTAACCCTGAGATTGTATCAGTGCAATCAGTATTTCTGAATACAAAAGTGTAGCGTCCAAGGCATTCATTTTATTTGGGGCGTTTGTGTAAAGGCCGACCTCCATGTTAACATAGAGCATCAGCATCCTAATCATGTTCCATCAACGGAAAAGAGCTGATGGTCTGGTCAACTCCTTTTGATCAATGTAAAAGAGAAATGCTCCTGACCTCCTAAAAAAATTCAACAAACACACACACTGCAGCAGAATAAATCAGAGCTCATTTTAAAAAGTTATAATAATCCTTACATTTGATATAATGCCTTTCAAGTCGGAAGGACGTCACAAAGGGCTTCACAGGATTTATGTAAATGCTTTGTGGGAGAATATATAACAACATAACTAACCTTTAGCTGCAAGAGGTTATTAAATCCTCATTGGTACGGGCCACTTTACTAGTTGCAACATACATTGTAATTCAGGCAGGAAATTAATACTTGCCTTCTTCCTCAGCTTCATCATCACTGCCTTCCACATCGTCATCATCATCATCATCACCGTCCTCACCCCCTGCATCATCACCAGATTCACTGCTACCTTCGTCAAGGATTTCTGCACATGCGATTTAAAAAGAAAACTATCGTGAGTGGTAGGTAAGATCAGACGCAAAACACGTTCTGTACACTTCTGGATTTTTTGTAATTGGATTTCGTCCATGCTAATGTACCAACAGGATAACTATTTGTTCCATTTAATATCGAAAGGAACACTATTTTAGGAAACTAATGAGCAATGTTAAACGAGAAGTCTAAGGCATACAGAGTCAGTGGTAAACATCTTTGATCCCAGCTCTCAATAGACATGCTACAAAAATATGGTTTATAATTCTGGAAAGATTAAAGATTTGATGCGACAAAGATAAACTGAAGTGCTCTAACAAATGTACTTGGTTCTAACATTTCGCAAAGCTAATGATTGTTTAATTTTTTCATTAAATCACAAAATTATGATAACTTACCTTTTTTAAGATCTTTGTACTTCTGCTCATTGTCAAGAAAGTCTGGATCCATCTTGAAGATATCTGCAATTTAAAAAAAATTACAAAATGTTACCTTAAATAAGACGGTTTATGGCCTTGAAGATTGTTCCTTAAACAAATTATAAGACAGGTTATTTAAAATGTATAGTCTTAATGCAATTTTTTTAAAACAAGTCATCACTTTTGAAAATTGATCACCCTAATCATATAACTGTAAGCACCAAAGTTATTTGCATTCTGTACTGAATTTATTTATAATATAGATGGAACACAGAAAACCAGAAGCCAAAAACAAATTTAACGAGCTTGGGATATTTCCTTTAAAACTGCTGAAATTGTGTAGATTATCTTTACTTGGATACATACTTAGTAGATCCTCTGGGCTATATTCATCCTCCAAAGGAAGCATGTGAGTGAACTGATCCTCTTCCTCAACCAGATCAAGACCTTCAGTTATAATAGGATGATCCTTAAATCCATCTTTTCGAATAGCGAACATCACTTCTATCATGTACTGGACACGCTTGTCAATCTGAGATTCATGCAGGATATTGCGAAGACGTTCGAAGATCGCTGTGGCAGAAATACAAAGTTTACCAGGTAGGAACACATCTGGCTGCTTACATTAAAATGCCACAACAGTTCAGCACGACAATTACCATTTATTCCTCGGGGAGAAACTTCTGTCAGCTTCATTCCACACTCCTTCAGAAATGCAATCGCCACCTCAACACTATCATCTGTGGGTCGCTCAAGGAGTAAAGTGAGCATTTCCAAAGATAACACTTCATGAGCCTGGATAGAAGAAAGGAAAACAAGGATCTCTGATAATCAGTCATTTTAAATTACAGCAAGAAGTTTTCAATGTGAGCTTCACCTCCAAAATGGATAGTTTTTTTAGGAAACAAAAGAAAGAAATGAGTAGTACCAAACGAAAACCAAAACTGCTTTGTAATTTACAATCTGCATTAAGAACAACAACTATATTTCTATAAAACCCCACTTCCCTTTTATTCCAAGAATCCAAATTACAGGTTAGTTAATGCAAGAGCATCTATATTAACTTGACATAACAAATGCTGTATAACAGAATTCACACGATAGAACTGTGATTTATCCTTGTTGGCTTTCCCTAGCACAAAAGAGTGGAGTTAGCAACATTACTCAACGTTGTTAGCTCTGAAGCAGTGGAGAACCAATAAATGATGATGGAGTATACACATCAACAGGCTTTCCAGACAAAATGATTGATGATCAGATAAACCTTAGAAAACCATTTATTAAAGAGATGCATTTTTGGGTTTGCTGAGACAACTGCAGAAATTAAGATTCTAGATAAAGTTATCTTTTCTAGATAAATTTGGCTTCAGGTAAAATCTTAAAACAATATAATCAGCACAATTTCAGTTCTCTAAATCTGGACTTCAAATGAACTGGAAACTCCCTGCCTCTTCCAATAATTATTTCCAAGTGACTGATGGGAAAAGGAATAAGTACCCACACTTACCACATTTTGATTAACAAGATGACCCACAAACTTGGAGGCTGAAAGGCACAGTTGCTGGAAAGAAAGATAAGATTTAAAAAAATTAGCATAAGATTTCCTGCACAATTTTTTCGTCAGCAATTGACTCACTTTTGAAACAGTCCATCTCTCCCGCATGCACATACCCACACATCTCAACACTTTGCCTTAAACAGTATTTGCTCACCTTATCATTCCTGCGATAACCTTTGCGAAAATTTAGTATCAATCTCTTGAGAATGAGCTCCCCTATGTGAGGGAACTTTGAGTTTATAATTGCTACAACAGCAGCATAAACATGTGTAAATATGGGAGAAGCCGTCTGTGCCTGTATAACTGATCGAGACAGCAAGCCCCTGGATGGAAAGAGCACATTGTTAATATAGAAAGGAAAGGCACACTATTCTGGTGAAACCTAAAACCAATCAGTAATAATTCTTGTACAGAAAATTGTGCACAATTGATTTAGAAAAGATTTTTGATTCTAACAGAAATTATTATATTTTACTCTTTCCTTGTACATGCTCATTTTAGTTCTTTATTTAGATTTATTTTCATTCTTTTCTGACAGCGTTTATAATCTAAACATTATTGCAAATTAAGCATCTTCAACTGTTAACACTCCAAGTGAATATTGGTGAATGTGAAAATAGCACCACCAAGTTGCTTTGAACATAAATAACATGCACATATAAAAAAAATTACACTTCCGAGGACAATTTTCTCTGATTAATATTAAGATAAATACATACCTTCCTCGAACAATATTTTCTTGAAGGAGTTCATGAATGATGTTAGCTATATTAGAGACGTTCACTTTGTTGATGAGACCATTAATTGATTTCTTTAAAGCTTCCCAGCTCATGCGCTGATATGCCAAGCTAAAATAAAAGAGGAATAATTTTAGCATTGGATTGTGACAAATTACATTATCAAAATAATTATGCACCATTAAAAAATGAAAGAAAAAACAAAGAATGGGAATAAAATACTGAAAATTATGGATCGTAAAGTTCTATTGCATGGTTTGTAAAGGTTTTGCGGGAACAAGGGAGCTGCAACCTTCTCAATTTTTAATTTGAACCTTAACGTCCTTCAGACGAGGAGTTAAACCGAGGTTCCATCTGCCTGTTCAGGTGACGTTAAAGAATCCTATGGCACTAGTTAAAAAAAGCAAGTTTCTCCCAGTAACCTGGTCAACAATCTCCCAAATAAAATTGATCACCCACACCATGGCTGTTTTATCAGCAACTGCTGTGTGCAAAACTAGCTTCCGAGTTTCACCCACAAAATACAGTCAATCCACTTCAAGTGTATCCTGTGAAGCGCTTTGAGACTGTCAACAACTTTGACCACCCTCCTTCTGCTAAAGTACTGTTCTTCCTTCTCCGAGACCAGATTTAAATTAATCTCAACAATGAATGCACTGAGGGAAATACAACTTAACAAGTTCTAGCACATCTACAGTGGGACACAAGTCCACAGCACGAGATAATTATTTTCCGAGAATTATAACAGTACTCAGGGAATTTCCACGGGGAACAAATTGAGGCTGAGAGTTGAAGGATCATGCAGAATGGAACTTTGGAAGCATATGCTTGAGAGTGAATGATTTACGTTACTGAGGGAGAAACTTTGCACCGAATCAGTCATCCGATACCAATGTTGGTGCAAAGTAGAAACTAGCAGGAGGAATCCCAACCCAATGAATGCTTATGTATTGTTGATGAGAACCTTCTTCTGTACCTTATAAATTAACCAATGAAAAAGTAGCTCTGGTTAAGTTTTCACCCACCTGCTTTTGTCAGCAATTTGATCTTGCATCATTCTTAGCCTTGCGGGGGGAATGTAAGCTCCACCCGTTCGTGTCAGAATAGGGTCCAGCTCTGCCTTCTTTTTCTTAGCTGGTGGTTCAACAGAGGAACTCTGAGTGACAGCTTCTTCCTCATTTCTCACTATAGGCGAAGGAGATTTTGTTCTCTTCCTGCGATCTGAGTCACCGTCCATATTCCTCTCTCTGTCTCTCCCCCTGAATGGAAATAATTTTTCTCAAGTAAGTAAAACCATAGCAGATTTTAAATGTATTTCTGTGGAAGGAACAGTCTAAATGTTTTTTTTTCTTATTCAATCTTTTGTGTTCTTATAAGAATCCCAACAGCACAAGTGTAATACTAGTTGGGCCGCAACAGCTTAAAAAAATACCTCGAGTGGAAATCTCTGTCGTTGTATCTTCCATTGCTCGACTGTCTTCTGTCGTACTTACTCCTATCAGAATAATCTCTTGGGGATCTTGATCTATCATGATCTTTATGTCTGAGGAAGCAGAAGACGATTATACACATTCTTTTAATGAATTATTGAAGATGAAAGTATTCATGATTTGTGTTTGTAAAAGAAACGAGCACATGTCCACAATTATTAAGTGAAGATACAGCACTTCACATCAACATAGAAATCGATAAGCTCAACAAAAATATAGGCAAACCAATTTGTGAAGTATAATGTGACTTCTGACACAAAACCAGTGCCAACTTTTTAATCTTATTGAGACTAATCAGTATTTATCCAGGATGCTTGAAGTACTGGTAAAGTATAAAGGATGATTTTAAACATGAAAATCTGATTTGCAAGATATGAAACAACTTAAGATAATCAGTGATACCAGGGGGCATAAAGGTTTAGCAACACGAGAAAATGCCATTTTAAGCAAATTGGATTCCGCTAACAATGGATACAGCATTTGAAGTGCACCAGCAGAAGACATTTGCTGCTGTGCCAAACCCATGTGAAAAAAAGTGGTACAGAACTTTAAATCACCGAAACAAATCAAAGTTTTCACTTGGCAATACGTTAGGAAAAATCTTACATACTTGGGGAAATAGACTAAGAATTATTTATAATATGCATTGACAAACATGGAAATAGTTTCCATATCAGTTTACACATGCAAAACAAGCTTATTTTTACCTATAGTCAGGAGAAGAGCTTCTCTGACGAGGACTGTGACCTCTCCTCTCGTGGGTTGAACTGAGCTGAGAAGAAGACAGTACAGATACAAAGTTATTGTACTCTTAGAAGCAGATAGATCTAATTTAACTAAAGGGTAAATAAAAGGTCATTCCTTTTTCAAAAAAATAAACTTTAAAGTAATCATAACTTCTTGAGGCATGTAGTTCTACTGCCAGATTTGGGTGTTATAAAATGTCAGTGACAAGTGATAAGACTAAAATGTTCGTCTCACTAAACCGCTCGATGTATTTATTTCACCTAGGAATGTAAACAATGTTTGAAATACTGAAATTTATTATTACTTGAAGATAAGAGCATAGCATCGGTGTTGGGCAGATGAGGTTACTTTGCTCCAATGCCAAGGAAAGGTAACCTAAAACTTCCATCAAATCTTTATCTTAAGCCAAAGGACTCAAAACAGGCTCCAATACTATAAATCCCATTGCTCCAAACACTGGCCTTTTTATAAAGTTAAATGTTTCTGATTATTACTGAAAAGTATACTTGGGCAAAGCAACTCCATCTACAATTCATGCATTTTGTAACATTAATTTACACAAAACTATTGATTAAGAACACACCCACCACCAACTGTAGCGCCCTTCACATGAGTTATCATCTGAGAGCAGTGAACACAAGCTGTGCAAACAAAACCATTTGTCATGTTCAAGTCAACCGTTCATTTTTTGCTAATTATTTGGGTGTTTCCAAAACGAATACTTGTTCAGCACATTGCTGACTTTTCATATCGTATCCTACAATTTACGAATAAATTGTTTTGGATCTAGGACTGAACATGTGACAATCTTTGAAGACATGAAGACACATAAAGCTACTTTTGAATAATACTGAACTCGGAAGAGCAGCAATGTTAAGAGAGTATAGGTGTTCAGTTCATGCTCATCATAATCTCAGGGTGCTGAGTTCCTAATTTCAGGATTCAATGTTTTCAGGAAAACTCTTAAGTGTTTCCCAGAGGGCTGGAAGGGAACCTGGAGGCACCATCAGAGCAACCTTGCTGTCTGTTGGCCAGTTCAAGATGATATTAATGGAGCCCTTGGATCAGGTCCATCTTTCCTCCCGGGAGGGGTGATCAGAATGCTCAGGAACAGTGGAGAAAAGGTATTTGAAGTTAAGAATGACAGAGTGGTAGCCAGATGAGCAGCAAGGTTTATAAAAAAAATTGTATACATACAGCTTAATTTCTTTAAAAAAACATTTCTATGAAAAACACGTTACAACGCTGATAATCCAGTGTTAATACTGATTTACCGGTGATCTTACTTTGATCTGTACTACACTGCTTTTCATTTTCTGGACCGCTGCACCACTGCTCGCTGCACTCTTCTCACTGTCAGAGCCGCTTGAACTCTCCCCATCCCCTGTATTTGCAGGCTCCACCAAACTGGCAAGGGCTTCTCTGACAGGACTTTTTCCTGGACTTCCTCCTGGATCGTTCTCTTCAAGGGGTTTCTCTTCAGTTACCACAACTGTGCACAATTAAAAAAAATACATTACAACCAAAGTTTTGCTGCAATTCACTTCTTAATCTTAACTAATTTAGATTTGAAACTAGAATGGGTTGATATGACTGATATTCAATTATTAGCTTGGCAAAACCTGTAAAATTCGACACCTCGCTGACAAACTCGCTGCCTTTACGAGTCAGAAGGTTGTGAATTGATGCCCTCATGTCAGGACCCTGAGCTCAGTCTACACTGACATTTCGATAATGCATTACTCCCCCAGTATAGTGCTGGAGGTGCTGTTCGGATTGGATATTAAATCAACGTTCAGTCTGCCTGTTCACGTGCATGTTAAATTATACTCCAAAAACAGAAGGGGTTGTAGTCGATAAACATAAAAATATAACAAATATAACAAACATCAGCAGTCAATTTGTTGTGTTTGCCAATGAATATATTACCCATCAAATGTTTTTAGATTCTTTTGACATTAGTCACTATATCAAAGCAAGGAATTATTAATTATAATGTTGAGAGTACATCATTGGATTAATCTGTAATGTTCTTAATGATTTTTTCACATCAAAAGTGTTATACTTTATTATAAATAAATAATAAACTAATGGTAGAAGTTTTTTGTAAAAAAAAATTTGGGAGTCCTTTAAACTTCTGAGGCAAAAAAATCAATAAGTGCCAAACTATCAAGATCACTTAATATTGTTCTGACATTAAAATGCATTAAAACAATTGAAGGCATTACATATCAGAAAATGGGCATTAGGTATTAAAATGGAACTATATCCCCTTATTTTAATACTAATAAAGGCAATGATTCAGTTCAGAAATACACAACAGTGGCATTGGAGACAATAACAATTCCAATTCTCTCAAACCTAAGTATTTTTAAATTATGGGCACTATTCAGGTATATGCGAAAGATGTTTCTTTTTTTTAAGCAAGCATTGAGCTTTTGAACGTCAATCAACTTGTGGACTTTGTGGCCACCTTGTGGACGGACAGAACAACTACTCTGTCTCAACTGTTCCCATTTCAACGTACGGCTCACAACTTGAAAACACTCTGCTGATATTTCTGCAGGAAATGGCACAACCATGGGTGCAAAAAAGTGCTTTGAATCATAATTTGCCATTAAAGAGTTAAAAAAATGCTAAGTATTTGTATATTCCCTTCACCCCTCACCAAGCTTCACACCAGACTATCAAAGCAAATTGAAAGCGATATTGCAGGCCACATCTGCTAATGCTCCAATCAGCCCTTGTTTAATCGTTTGATATGTTCCATGTCTTTCTTCCTTTAGGGAAGCATCTGGCCTGCACATTATTGAGTACATATATGAAATTCACTAAGTTGTGAACTTGGATTGGATCATACCATCGAACTGGCCTAATGTCACGATTTAAAAATCTACGTTAATTGGTCATCTGATTGCACTTACTAGCCAAGGTAGGGTTCAAAGTATTAAATCGCCAAACTACCCAACAGTTCAAGTTGGCAAAAATAACTTTAAAAAAAATGACAGTTCTGAGGTACTAGTTTGGCTGGAATACCAAAGTTTTACATTGGGATAGGGGAAGGATGCTGACTCCTAACATCACTTCAAACATGCCTCTCAGCCATCCACTCTTGGGAATTACAACAGCCTGACTAACTCTTGTTGTCTTCCTTGGTAAGGAAAATGAGAATCGTAATTTTTTTTGGAATCAGCACATTAATTGAACCAGCAATTCAACAGAAAAAACACCATACCTGTCCCTTCTTTTGATCTTCGCGTTTCTTCTTCTTCCTCTTGCTGCTGCTTTTCTTCTGATGAAGATGAGTGAGGACTACCTGGTGCCTTTCTCAAACTAGGATCAGGGCTGTAACACTTGGGTGTCATTTTGTGAGGTGGTTCCCCATAACTTTCGGATCCAGACCTATAATCATCACCCATTTCAGAGGTAGATCTTTGCCTTTTTTTGTGAGCATAGCTTTGTTCCTTATCCTCTCTACTGTCAGAAACAGGGCTTTGCTGCCTTTGACTGGATACATGTGGGCTCTGGATATTGGAAATTTCCACTTCAGAACTTTCTGCAGTTTGCAGGTTCCTTTTGTCAACAGATGGATCAGATGATAATGTACTGTCTGGCTCCTTATTTTCAGGACTTACTTTCTGGCTGGTCCTCTCATCCACTCTTTCTGTATCAGACCCAGATTTTCTGCTTTTTTGAGAACTTGGTGTAACCCTAACTGGAGAGGATTCTGAAGCCTCTGAATCGGTTTTAAAATCATGTTTTCTTTCACTAGAAGATACGCCATCAGGACTTTGTATCTTAGAAGCAGATATTTCACTTCCGTATATTGTATCGTATGAAGGTGGGCTTTGAGAGGGCTCTTGCAAAGGGCTATGGCTCCGAGAAGATATCTTTCCTGAGCTATCTGCAGGGCAAAGTGTCCTTGTTTCACTCGACGACTCGATATCTTCTATTCTGTCCTCTTTACCATCTGGACTCTCTCTTGCACTGCTGGCATTCTTGTGCAGGGGTGAAGTTTCTGAATTCGACACTCCCTTTTCATGTCTGGGACGTGATGTTGGTCGTTCTAAACCACCAGCTGCTTTATCATTGTCCTCCTCATCGCTGGACGATGATGAGGAGGAGGAGGATGAGGATGATGATGACGAGGAGGAGGAAGAGCCCGAAGTGGAGGATGATGATGAGGAGGAGGAAGAGGATGATGAAGATGATGACGTGCTTGCTGACCTTTGCCGTGGACTCTTAGAAGAGCTTCCACTCTTACCATCTCGTTTGCCACCTCCTGAAGTAGGATCTTTATGTTTTGATCCATCATGAGTCTGGCTTGTAGAAACATCTTTTCCAGAGCTTGTTGCAGAACAGGAGACACTTTTGCTACTTGTAGAATGAATATTTTCAGACCAATCTTGTTTCCCTTGGTCGGGACTTTGATCCTGGCTGTCTTTCTCTTGTCCGGTCAGGGTTTTAATTTTTTCTTGATGATCCGGTGTTACTATTCTGCTTTTTTGAGAATCAGCAGCATCTTTATTGGATGACCTGGGACTTTCTGACCCCGATCTATGAGCCTCTCTTTCGCAGGAAGTACCACTTGATTTCTGTTGCCATATACGAGGAGTACATTCACGTTCATCATCTCTGCTCCTTGAAGATGGACTTGGAGATTTTTGCTTTGTACTTTCAGGGCTGTTATTGCGGGAACATTCTCTGACAGAACTCACTGAAGGTTGTGGTTCCCGTCGATAGCTTGGTGACCGAGTGCTTGGTTCATTACTGTCTGGACTTCCTGAAGTATTCCTACTGCCTTGAGTAACAGTACATTCTTCTCCGTCTCTTCCTGGATCTGACTCCACTACTTTAAGAATTTTCTCAGAGTCTTGCTTTATGTATGAAGAAAGTGAATCAGGACTCTTCGAGCTTTTAACATCTTCCCTGCGAGGACTACAAGATGAGCTTGCTGATCTATTATCCCTATCGTCTTTCGGTTTTTCCCTGGATCCAACACTAGGATTGATTAGCCTTGATCTCGGAGGGCTGTAACTTCTAGATTGCCCTTGACGAGAATTTTCCTCTGGCAGTGAAGAACTTTTGTTGCTGGATGGATTAATTTCCCGAGATCTCGCCTTGTCCTTGCGCTCTGGACTTCTTTTCTGGCTATCAGCTTTCTCCAGTCTACTGCTCAGCTTTGAAGTAGAGGCCTCGATTTTCGATGATCTATAAGGACTTTTGGAACTGGACCTGTACTCCCTCCTTTGCGGTTTTGGAGAAGAACTGCTAGACTTTCTCCTATACCTTTTATCCCTGTCAGCACCAATTTTACTTCTTGAATCTGGACTATGTTGCCTTCGACTTGTTTCTTTAGGACTACGGCTTCTTGAAGGCTCTCTCCGAGAACTCTCCGGAGAGCGCCATCTCTTACTTTCAGATGGTTTGTCCTTCGACCGTCCTGCGTCTCTGACATTCGACCGTCTTTCTTCTTTAGCAGGAAATTTCTCATCCCTTCTTTCTCTGTCAGGCCTTGTCATATGAACGTGCCCATGTGAAAGATTTCGGTCCCATCTCTCATCACGCCTTTCATCTTTTCGGCCACTGGTATTCTTCGGTGATCTGCCTCTCTTTTTTTGTGGACTCGAAGCCGAGCTTCTGCTGCTACTGCTTCCACTGCTGCTGCTGCTGCTGCTAGAGCTGCCACTTCCGCTGGAGCTGCTTGAGCTGCTGTTGCTAGAGCTACTACTGCTGCCGCTGGATGAGCTGGAATCACTGTCACTGCTGCTCTCCCTGAAGAAAACAGAGAAACTTATCAGTACATTTCACAAATGTAAAAGTCATTCAGATTTTGAAACAGGTTTCGTTATAAAAATCCCTGCATTTGATGTTGCGTCTTATCTGGTTGTTGAGAATTCTCAAATCGCTTCACAGGAATTAATGTAGAGTCGATTGACTGCGTATTTTTGTGGGCGACTTGCGGCAGCCAGTTGTGCACAATGTCCCACAAGCAGCCATGAAGTGAGTTACCAATTTTATTTGGGGATTGCTGGCCAGAACAACGGGAGAAACTCCCTTCTCTTTTCCAACAGTGCATGGGATCTTTAAGATCCACCTGAGCAGGCAGATGGGACCTTGGTTAACTTCTCATCCGAAGTAGTTTAAAATGCTTTTTTGGGGGTTCATTGCGTTATTAACACATCAGTGAATGTTGTACCACTTGCCTGAATAGGAGCAACAATTATATCAACCCTGGGCTAATTTTGTGCAGTTGGCCCATGTTTATCAATAACTGGATTGATACTCCCTGGCTTCATTCCCTTTTCAAGCCTAAGCCAATAAACACGGTGCACCATCACCCTGGAATGGATTCAATGCCTGACTCCAATTGCAAAATAATAATAATAATAATCCTTGCATTTGATATAGTGCTTTTCACGTCGGGAGGACGTCCCAAAGCGCTTCACAGAACACACTGTAAAGTGAATTGACTGTATATTTGTGGGCGAACGCAAAAGGTCTGTGCCCACCCACTACACCACTAGAGTATGCGTAAAATATTATGCGTGCGTAAAATAGTCATAAGTTGGCCATGGTCAGTTTACTGTATGTCCATTAGTAACTGAACAGTTTTGATGTTTTGTAGAACACATATAGAGATGGGAATGTTAAGTACAGTACTATGCAGAATTTAATCACCTGCCGACTTATTTTTTACACGCCAACTTTTTTTTGTATCGTTCTCCACCACAATGGAGTTTCAGTTCCCTAATATTAGTGGCACCAGGTTAGTTTTATGCATTACATGCTATTTTTAAACTCAGTTTCATTTTGATGAAGGACAGAAAGAGCAAATAATCTTATAAATTATATCACCGGAGTTTCCCAAATGTTTCTTTTTATTTAAACAGACGTAACTTATCTTATAAAAATAAAACATATTTGAAAAACACTTTAAACCCACAAGTATTTAAAATAACACTGACTCAATATTCCATTAAACGCATAAAGTAGGTATTTGTAATATGCACAACTGTGGAGTATTAGTAATGATTATGGAATCTTATGGCCCCCTTTTTGGGGGGGGAGGGGGCATGAAAGAAAATAAGCCCTTACGTTTACTGGGTGTTCTGCCTCATAAGCAAGATGAGCCCACCACTCAACTTCCAACAATATGGCCGATTTTAAAGATATACTTGTTCACAATTGTGTTGCTTCACACTTAAATCACTTGTACAAATACAATACAGATTACATTTGTATAACGCCGTTCACGTCGGGAGGACGTCCGTTCTGCTGTTGCGAAAATAGAACTCTAAATGAAACAAATTAATCCAAATTCAGAGATTTAGAACAAGGTAGAATACGCTGACTTTCAGCCACTGGCTGTTGTATTAAAAAAAATCTCATACTGCTCGTTGAGATGCAGCTTGGTGAGGACACATCTCTTGAGTAAAGAAGCTGGATGGTGTCAGGAAACTATAAGAGATAACATCAAAGTGAGAAAACGTACATCTAAAACATCATATAAATTACTGGTATATGGGTCTGGGCTCTGCCTCTCTGTAGTACTTGTTTTCCCAATTCAAATTGTAAATCAGATTCCAAAATACCTTCATGCTACCTTTTTACTGACAGGTGGAAAATCAATTTCAAATCAGTTTAGAATGATTTTCAGCATGAATGCAATATTATTCATTCGCTGCTTGAGTATAGAACTGTGTAAAATGCAGAGGAATGTACAATACAAGTGTGATAATCTGCTAATATAGAAATTACTCATTTTTTTCTCAGTTTTGCCTTTATGTAATTTTGCTCCAGGGCAACCCCCAACATACAGACACTTCCAGGAACTGTTTTTAAATTTTGAGATGCATATATTTTTATACAATATACTTTACAGTTTCTGCTTTAACACCACACGATCTTCCTAAAAGATGCTTAGAAAACCCAAAGGAATTTACAACAATTAAATATTGTTAATTAATATTAATATTGCAATCCACAGTAAAATAATTCAACATTTCACCTGACAAACACTGAATCAAACTTCTTGTCCCAAATCCTGATACTAAGTTAAATGCAGACAGGAGAATAGGAGGAATACTGTAGATATTAATTATATTGTGCAAGAAAAAATATTGCTAAGCTCTATTCATTGTGCATTGGACCTCACACATACTATATCAATTTGCCAATGTTTTTAAAAAATCTACCATTTAAAATGTTCACTGTGAATCTTGCAGTCATTTAATTACTTTGTGTAAATATACTGAATGCCAGTTCACTTTGGCTTATACAGTATTTTGCTTGTGTTTCGACACATCACCCACTCCTACTACATTCCATGGCACCAATTGCTATTTTCTGGTTTAAGAAGAGCATTAGATCTATGGCGTCTTATGGCAAAAACACGTTTAACTACTCAGCACTGTATCAGTCGAGCACCATTGTATCAGTCAGCACTTGAAGACATACAAGCTCCACCAAGCTCTACATCTCCAAGGATCGCTGATGAACCAGGCAAGGTGGTCAATCATTAACACTGCCTGAGGTATTGGGAAGTGCCTGGTTTTGCCTGCATCTCTCCTCAGGAAGACCCTGCTTAGCTTTTCCTCCTCGCCCCCCAGCAACAACAAGATTACATTTGTGTAGCACCTCTCACGTCGGGAGGACGTCCCAAGGCATTGGACAGAGTACAGCATTTCAGACCCGAGCTGGGGTTGGAGTTTGCATTGCAAGTTAGGCATTGGACCCATTTTCAAGGCTGACTTGACACTGGGATTCTGCAAAATCTTGTAACCTTATTAAAAGCAGTAACATCAGACCATTGAAAATTTGTCCCGTTTTCAAATTGGCAGCCTGGTTCAAAACAAAATTCTTTACTAGAACACGTATTCATGGATAATGTTGTGCACTTTTTTTTCCAAGAAGTTGCTAAACATTCCATAACTATCTACACTCTGCATTACTGCTTACAAATACTTCAACCCACTTCCAGTGTGAGAATACACATTGCAAAGATTTTTTTAAAAAATAGAGAATCACCGACCTAGAAAGGAAGCTTTAAGAAGAGCCCTTTTTGATAAACTATTGTATATCTTACAAAAATAGCTATTTGGGTGTGAATGACTCTTGAAAAGAACATGTATTTTTTCTTGTGCCATTTATATCACAATGTCTCAAAGTGATTCGCAAGTTTTAGTTAAGTATAATGAGTTGTAAGCAAATTCTTCAGTCAATTACAACACGGTTCCACAAACAGCCATGATATGAAGGACCGATCACTTTGGAGAATTGGTAACAAGGAAATCTGGAGAAATTATTATTAACAGCATTAGCTGATAAATTGGGGGGTGGTGGGGGGGGGGGGGAGTAAAATTTATTTAGCACCAAGTATTATTGCAATTAATACATTTCACAATTGAGCTAAATGTATTGGGACCTTATAAATGTATTTGAGGGTTTTAAAAAAATATAAACTCTCCTAAATTCTGCAGATATATTTAATCATCTGGGTTTGGGAACTGCCAATAGCTGCTCAATCACAGACATGTTTACTGGTTTGATATGCAATCTCAAAATACAAGATCTATTATGTGACATTAATTTTCGATGCTCTTCTGATTGAGTTGCAAGAAGCTTTTTCAACCACTGAGAGACACAAGGACATAAAATAGAACAGAGAATGAAGTAAATATAGGGCAGGGCAATGGAGCAAGCAGAATTCATGTGCATTTTTAAATGCATTTTCAGAGACTGTGCAGGATTACTACATAATATCTACTCCCAACGTTGGAGTGTCTTCATTATTTTAGTGATAAAATAATGAAGATAATAAACTTAGCAGCCAGTTTGCACACAGCAATGTCCCCAAAACAGCCATGGCATAAGTGACCAATTTTATTTGGGGGGGTGGGGGGGGGTTGTTGGTTAGGTAAGCGGGAGAAACTCGCTTCTCTTATCGAATAGTGTCATGGGATCTTTAACATCCACCTGAACAGTTTAACGTCTCATCCAAAGGACAGCACCTCCACCAACGCAACAACCCCCTCAGCACTGCATTGGAATGTCATCTTAAAAATGTGAATCCAAGTCCCGACACAGGACTTGAACCCACAATCTTCTGACTCGGAGGTTAGTGTTACCCGGCTAATACACTGAGTGCAATATCAAACAAGGATTATCATTAAAAATTGTTAAACACAAGTGTGTTGCCTGATATGTGCTAACTAATCAGAAAATTTAAATAAATTGCAACAAGAGAATCTTAAAACTTAAGTCAGGTGTAATTGGGTTTTACTTTCTACACAAAACCAGCATGAAATCTCTATAAAATCAGGCCTATTTGGATAAACACTGGAACAAATCAACTGGTAACTTGCACAGCCAAACCATTACAATGAATTAGGTAAACACAAGATGAAAGAGTTGGATTTCTCACACCACATACAACTGCATTTTAATTTAGATCACATCTTAGTACTTTATAGTCTCGCACAGAAGAGCAGATAAAATCGGCGCGGGGGGGGGGGGGGTGTCTGTTTTTTGGAGGGCATAATTTGCAAAACATGAATATTATGATTCAAACAAACTATTACCCAGGAATCAGTACAGTAAGTAACTGTTTCAGGACACCACATGCACAGGAAAGCCAACATATTAAAAGCTACTGAACAAGTTCAAAATGAGTCCCTGTGCCCCCCAATTGTACTTAATTCATCACAAATTGCCTCACATTTCCGCCCGACCAAAAAAAAAAGCAGGGTGTCAAACCCAACCATCCGACACAT